TCTTGATCTACAAAAGGGGCAATAGGCAAATGGGTGAACAAGTCTGCCTGGAAGACTCCAGGTACATCAAGAGGAGGGGATTACACAGCATTTAGGGGAACTAACTTAAATACAAATTCCCAATTTAGTATATGCTTAGCTATACACACATAATCCTTGCTCTTACTGTCTAAAAGAGGAACCAACTATTTACACAAGTTTGTAAAGTGCTAAATATCACTATGCATTATTAGTGTTCCTAGTTGTAGTTCTGTAAATACAAAAAATAACTACCTTTATCATATAATCTCGCTTGGGTAAGAATTTCAATGGGGGCTACAATTATGATAGCATCAAACTCTGCAATCAAGTCAGAGGACAGTGCTATAGAAAATGACAAAGAGAAGGAGCACAATATAATCTCAGGCCCTAAGCCTATCCAGAACAAATGCAGAAGACACTAGCATAGAAGAAACTGGGAATGACACAGCTGAAATCTCTGAATTTATAAAGTCTGAAGTAAAGAAATGACTGCAAAAAAGGTGGAGATGAAAGCAGCTCAAAAATAACCTCTGGTGAGCAAAATTTCTGAATTCATAGCATCTGAAGAAACAACTCCAGAAAGGTATAGAGGAAATAAGATCACAAAAAAAAATCTCTGAATTAAAAAAAGAATGGATAACTAGATGAAAGAATTAATATCCACTACTAAAGAATACACTAATAAAAATACAGAATAAAAACTGTTGAAATCCTTGAATAAGCAATATATTAAAGAAACAGATCACATGAAGCAGAGTCAAAGAGATATAGAGGAACATCAAATCTCAGTCATGAGCTTACAAATCCATTTGAATAAAAGTGAAGATAGAGTTTCAGATCTTCAAGACACTATCACAGCCACTGAAAGGTAAGAAAAGATCTCTTAAAAAAGACTGGGATGGGACTGGGGAGATGGCTCAGTGGAATAAGCACTTCCTTGGCAAGTGCAAGGACCTGAGTTCAATCCCCGGTTCTGCCAAAAATAAAAAAAGAAAGAAAAAAAAAAAACAGACTGGGATGCAGGAAAAAAATAACTCATCAGCTGCAAGATCATGCAAAGATGAACAAAAGTAAGAGTAATAGGCATCAATAAGAGAGAAGAAGTTAATGCAATTTTTGTTTTGTTTTTCCCATAATTTTATTGATAAACAAATAGTAATGAGACAGTTTCAAATCAAATTGGTAGGACAGTTTCAATAATCCACACATTGCGTACATTCTTCCTAGTGGTTAATTGCTGTACAAGATGCGGACATGATATCCTATTTACAAACACTATTAGAACAAATCACTCTATTCATTAAGAGAATGCAACTATATATCTATCCTAACCACTATTGAATACACAGATACAAAATGGACATTCATCTGTATCCCCTTTTTTTATTAAGTTCTGTTATTTGAATATTATAGGTGTGTAAACACAGTAAAATATTCTATAAGATTCCAGGAGCCCATAATAGTATTGGGTCTTCCGCTTCACTGGCAATGTCAGAAATTGTTGACCTGAGTCCCCTATAGCCCAACATAACAGCATGGCTTTACTTCCTATATTTCATCTTCATACTTCTCTACTGAATGGTTAAGACCAAGGTAAAGCAGAACCTATGCAACAAGAGTTGTAGCTTTTGGGTCTGATAAGGTCAGTGAAATTCCCTCAGGATTTATCCTGAGATCCTGTACCTCAGATTGTAGAACCTTTGTCGGTGTCAGCCATGTGGATGAGTCAC